CTTCTTCTTCTTCTTCTTCTTCTTCTTCTTCTTCTTCTTCTTCTTCTTCTTCTTCTTCTTCTTCTTCTTCTTCTTCTTCTTCTTCTTCTTCTCTACCTCTCTCACTCCATTACTCTCTGTCCTTCCTGCCTACCATGACTTGGCAGCTTTCGTCCACCAGGCCTCCTGCCATGTCATTTCCCTCTTAAAGTCAGCCACACACCAGCTGAACCCTCTGAAATTGTAAGCCAAGTAAACCTGTCCTCCTTTAAATTGCAGACATCAGGGATTTTGTGCTAGTGGTGGGAAGGCTAACTAATACAGTCTGTTTGTCCAGCATTCAATCACATTGCCAGCTTCAGTTTCCAAGGATACTGGGCAAAGTGGACTTCACTTTTTCTCACCATGAGTCTACCCCAAAACTAAGGGCAAATCCATCCCTGTAGAAGAAGGGGAAATAAGAATTGTGAGAAAACCAGCAATTGTGGCCAGACTCCTCAATCCTTGGCATTCTGGCCTATGCCCCCTGCTGCTGCTGCCACTGCTCACTATAAAGCCCCCAGTGCCACTTGACATGGGAACATTTCAATCCTTTTCTTGAATGATTTATAGACAGCGTTTGACATTTTCAGAATTTCTTTTGTTTCTATTGCATTTTTACCTGAAGTTAAATTTTTTGAGGTATAATTTACAAACAGTAGAATGTACTGTTTTAGTTGTACAGGATTATGAGTTCGGACACATTCTGCAGTCCTGTAACCACGCCACCATGAAGATATCACATTGCCACCACCCCAGGGCATCCTTCAAGTGTCTTGACAGTCAGTACACCCCCTCAAGCCTCCAACCTCTGGAAGCCATTCATCTAATTTCTGTCCTCAGGCTTTATTTTTTCCAAAATGTCCTATAATTGGCCCCAGACATGACACAGCCTTTTGTGCTTGACTTGATTCGCTTTGCAGTGACTTTGAGATGTTTTCAGGTTGCCATGAGTAGGCAGTTTCTTCCCAATGGTGATTATTCCATTGTGCAAATGTACTGCGATTTTATTCTTTCACCTCATGATGCGTGTTCAGGTTGTTTCTCGCTTGTGGCAATTATGAAAAAACTTCTGTAAATACTCGTGTCCAGTTCTTTGTGTAGACAAATGTTTACATTTCTTTTGGGCATTTAGGGTCATTCTTCCCACTTCAATACACTGTCTTTATGACACCACAATAGCATGACTTCCTAGCCACTCTCTATTACTTGTTTCTTAATTACTGGCATTCTACAGGGTCGCACCTGAGATCCCATCTTTTTCCACAGTACATACTCTCCTTCAGCAATTCTGTCTCCTCTGTAGATTTATTTAACCATCATCCAGAGTTCACTTCTAAAACTAAGTCTTCAGTGCAGATCACTCTCCTAAACTTGAAAAGTGATGTTTGAAGGCCATTGTCATACCTCCACAAACTCCTGAAAAACATCATTTTTACCTGTAAACGTCTCCTACTAAGCTGCCTGTCTATCCCGGTAACAGAAATAGTAGAAGGGTCCCCAGAAACCTGGCGTTGAAGATTTACCATCCCTACCCCATTCTCCAATCAATAACCATCCCAGCTTCCTTCTGAATGGCCGCCAAGCCCACTTATCTCTCTTAGTCCTGCTGCCACTGCTAGAACAGCCTCTCACATCCTCCTTGCCTCCACTCACATTTCCCTTCAGTCTTACACAGGGAAATGTAATGCCCTCAGCTGCCTAGCACCTGCCCATGGGTGCCTCTTAACTAAGGTAAAGGTTGACTTATAGCTGCCTCCTAAATATTTTAGTTTAGTATAGTGGTTATTACAATTGTCAAATGCAATAGAAAAACAAGAATACATTCATCTTACAGGACCAGATCATTCCTTCTTAAGAGTTGTCAGTACAACTGCTATATATTAACTGTAGGAAAAATATAGTAGGTTTTAGATTCTAACAGATTCTGGTTAAAAATTTCAACTTATTGACTGCCTCCCCCACATGACCTGAGGGTTGTAATCAGGATTGGTAAATGTTCCCGCACTGAGAAACCTGTGTAACTCTTTTCATTTTGAGACAAGATTTTGTTAAGTTGCCTAAGTTTCAACTTTCAATCCTCTTACTTCAATCTTTCAAGAAGCTGGGTTTACAAGCAAACACCACTGTGTCCATCTCTAGTTAGTTTGTCAGTAGACTTGTGATCTTGGGCCCATTACTTAGCAGAAGTCTCAAGTTCTTTCACCTACAGAATGAGGACATTACTACCTATCTTTAAAAATTATTTTGAAAATTATGTATAATATGTATACTTCTGACATTGCCCACCCTGTGGATAACCCACTACTATTATGGGCTTCTGGACTATGTTGGATTACTTTGCGGAATTCATGCACCTACAAAATTTGAATGGCAATGGAATACCCACTTCTGATAAAAATAAACAAAAAAGGAGGATATAAATGAAGGACCATTTTGTATTGAAAAAAATATATATATACAGATATATATATATATATATCTGTATATACAAAATAGGAT